AAATCGAACAGAAATGCTTAAGCGTAATTTCAAGATTCAGAAAAATATTAGCTGATATAATATTAAATTTGAACTTTTGAGCTTAATTCCCGTTGGAATCCACAGTGAAATACTTAGAAACGAATAAGGATGGTAATAAAGTGATCGAATCACTTTTACTCCACTCTCGTTAGGATATCTAAGGAATAATTAAGGAGTAAGGAACAGATGGCGTGGATCTGTGGGGTCGGTAGCAATTGTTATGTAAACAAAAATCATTTATTCATGTAGGACATTTTAGCTGATTAAGAAAATCAAATTTTTACATTATAATTTTAATTTTTTCCCTACCGTCCAGTTCGGTATATAGATCCAAATGAAAAGAACTGGCAAGAAACTCAATTGAATTACATTTTTATTTAAAACCAGTTTATTTACAATGTATATTTATATAGGTGTCTATGTTTAACATTAAATGAAAATCCAGTGCATGAACAACTATTGCCATGCACGCTCGTCATTCAAGTAATCGTTTAGTGAGGCTTTGTTCAGTAAATATGATTTATATCTATATATATAAAATTTTCGTGTCACAGTTTTCGTTCCCATATTCCTCCGAAACGGCTTGACCGATTCTCATGAAATTTTGTGAGCGTATTGAGTAGGTCTGAGAATCGGCCAACATCTATTTTTCATCCCTCTAAATGTTAGGGGTAGTCCACCCCTAATTTTTTTTTTATTTTAAGGCAAAACAACGTTTTCCGTGACAGCTGGTTATATTATACAAATATATATATGTACAGTACGCCATAGATCTGTGGAATGACGATGCTGACCTAGGAAATATAGTAAATATGTTCATATAGCATATGCTCTTGATATATTATATCTTATATATAAAATTCTCGTGTCACAATGTTAGATACCTTACTCTTCCGAAATGGTTTGACAGATTTTTAAGAAATTTTCTGTGCATATTCACAAGGTCTGAAAATCGGTTATCTATTTTTTATACCCCTAAATAATGATCGAATCATCTTTACTCCGCTTTGTTTAGGATATCTAAGGAGTAAGTAACAGATGGCGACACAGATCTGTGGAATAGCGATGCTGACGTAAGATATAAAGTACAAATATATGCTCATATAGCATATGCTCTTGGCATATATAATATATGAATCAAAATATAATTATATAATTATACCGTATGATATGATCTTTAAACTCTATTATGACGTATGGTAATTAGTTATACCGTTTACTGTGTACGTAATTTATATATTTTATTTTATTTAATAATATCAATTTAATTATATATAATCAAAATTAAATTTTATAAATATCATTATTGTATATTATGACTGCCATATATGTAAAGATGTTTTTTACATTGGTCAATAAATGAAACTAAACTAAACTATCTATATATAAATGAATTGCTGTTCATGAATATCGCTAAAACAGCTCTAAGTCTATCTATATCATTACATAGTATAACACAAAGTCGCTGTCGCTGTCTGTCCGTCCCTATGTATGCTTAAATCTTTAAAACCACGCAACGGAGTTTGAAGCGATTTTTTTAACAGATAGAGTGATTCAAGAGCAAGATTTATAAATATAATACACGTACATAAGAAGCGAAAGCCGGGGTGGGGAGCTAGTCTATATATATAAAAATGAATTCCCCGCACGGTGGAGACATCTCAATACTATAAGGAGGCTATAGATGTGCCTAGTAATTAACAGCTGATTTGTATTTGCAGAATGTAATTGTTCGGCTGAAAGATGATTTCCAGGGCCGTAAAATACTTAATAAAAAAAAAATGATTATGATTTTATTTTGTATGTAAGAGTGTAAATACTTACAAGTCACACATAGTCACGTTGACACTGTCACGTCACGTCAATATCGCCCGCCGTAAATTTCCGTCACAATATCATATTCGGGCTGTTGTCACTCGCGAAAATTGCCGTACAAAAGCCAGATTAAACCGGTTATCGGCGGTTGCTAATAATAATAGTGTCCCCTTTAATCCGCCGTGATGGATGACAGCTCCACCCTCGCTGGCCACCCCTTTTAATTGCCAGCGTGAATATACACCCGTCAGTCATGGAGAATTTTCGATTTATATTATAATAAGTTCATTTCGACGGCTTCGTCTTTCTTTAATAAAGTTTTTGTCCCTTTAGTGTGCGATTTGACTTATTTCTGAATTTCTAAAGAGAGCGTTTGCATGAATGAAGATGCATAATATTAATAATAAATAAATAATAATCTCAGGACAATTCACGCAGCGCCATCTAGACCCAAGTTAAGCTAGCTAGAGCTTGTGTTATGGGTACTAGATAACTGATATATACACATAGTTTTTTTTTTTTTGTAAATACATTCATATTATACATAGAAAACTACTGTCTGTCTGTCTGTTTGTTCTGAGTAATCTCTGAAATGGTTGGACCTATTTTGACGGGAATTTTTTTGGCAGGTAGCTGATATAATAAAGAGTAATTTAGGCTACTTTTAATTTAGAAAAATAAAGTTAAATTCCACGCGGACGAAGTCACGGGAACAGCTAGTTAAGCTATAAAAAGAGCATACAGTAAAAAAGAAGAGTATATTAAAAATAATATATATAAAATATATATGTAAAGGTTTCTTAAGGGTCGGCAAAGCGCACGTGAGACCCCTGGTATTTCATGCATCCATAGGCTACGATATACCATACGACGGGCCGTATAAATAAAAGAAAAATTAAAACATATTCCGGGTAAGTCGAAACTTTATAAATGAGTGAAGTAATATTATGCCATTCGGACAGCGTTGTGATCCATCACTGGCGCTCAATATGGCAATATGATACATGAATATTCTCAATGGCAACATCTGCACGGCTAAATCCTCTCAATCATCAGCTGTCACACAGCAGAAGTAACGGCGCAGGCAATTTCGAACTCATAGTACAGAGAATAAAGTACGAATTCAATTAGCCAACGGTTGAGTAAGTGGGATCATTTGTGACAATGATAAAATTCGCACATTTGTTACTTCGCGTGTGATTTGCGATAAATAAATATAGCGTTTTAGGGTTGGTTGACTCGAAAATGAAATACAAAATCTTTATGTCAGTCCGTATGTCATTGTTATACTACAGAACTACTCAATATTATGATATCAAGTTTATATATGCAAACAAATTCAAAATATCTTTATTCATGTAGATCTGTTACAGACTGTTATGATATGTCAAATCTACCGTCAGTTCGGAATGATTTCGATATGAGAAGATCTGACAAGAAACGTATTTTTTTTTTTAATATTCCGTACCAAAATCTTATATTATATATAAAATTCTCGTGTCACGGTTTTCGTTCCCTTACTCCTCCGAAACGGCTTGACCGATTCCCATGAAATTTTGTGAGCGTATTGAGTAGGTCTGAGAATCGGCCAACATCTATTTTTCATCCCCCTAAATGTTAGGGGTAGACTACCCCTAAATTTTTATTTTTTAGACAAAATTTTTAGTTTCTATTTTTTTATGATACAACATATAAAAATACATACAATCCTATATTTTCACCCTTCTATCATCAACCCCTATTTTTTTATAGCGTTATTAATTTACATGGCAAAACAAAGTTTGCCGGGACAGCTAGTAATCCAATATTTGATATGTATAATTGTATTAGATATGTATAATTTATAAATATTTAATTAATAAGTAATTGACATATAAATAATGGCTCTTTAATTATAAGAACAATCAATATTGACATTTGTTTTGTCTGTTGCATGTCGGAAATGACAAAATATGTGAAACTAAAAGACCTTAAAAACCACATATGTACCACATTTTTAAGCAATAAATATTAATTTCATTTCATTTCATATGTATATTTCATTTATACACCAATAAAATTATATAATTTAAATACATAATTAATTTAATAACAAGACTCCATTCTTTATAGGTATTATCTATCTACAACTAGTTTTCTAGTTTTACTAGTTTTCTAGAAACTTTCTGCCTCGCACAAACCACACTATGGAACCACATTATGGAATCACCTTCCAGCAATGGTATTTCCGAACCGATACGATATTGAAACCTTCAAGAAAAGAGCTTATTCCTTTTTAAAAGACCGATAACGTACTTGCAATTCCCCTGGTGTTGCGGGTGCTCATGGGCGGCGGTAATCACTTACCATCAGGTGAGCCGCATGCTAGTTTGTCCCCTGTGTTATAAAAAAAAAATACAGGAACATTTCTTGAGCCTGACACACTCCGAATAGCAACCTGTCTACGGCTTGGGGTTCCTGTCTGCGCTCCTCACAAATGTCCTTGTGGCAGTGATGTCGACAAACTAGGACAGGACAGCAAAAAAGTGCAGGCCGTGTCTCGAGATACGCCGCACTTAACGATATCATACGCCGGTCCCTTGCCGCCGTCAACGTGCCAAGTCTACTTGAGCCGACTGGTATTGCTAGAGACGATGGTAAGAGACCGGACGGTATGAGTTTGATTCAATAGAAGATGGGCCGGGTGCTGGTATGGGATGCAACCTGTTCAGACACGCTGGCCCCATCCCATCTACATGGAACCAACAACAGAGCTGGTGCGGCATGTGAAGTGGCTGAAGCTGGCCAAAGGATCTAAATACAGGGGTCTAGGCTCCGAATATGATTTTGTCCCATTCGGAGACCCTTAGTCCATGGGGTCCTAGCGCTATAAGACTTTCCAAGAAATAATGAAAAGGTTAGTCGACATCACAGAAGACCGAAGAGCTGGCAGCTACCTTGGACAAAAAATTAGTCTAGCTATTCAAAGAGGGAACGCTGCCAGTATCTTCGGAACGTTGCCTAAAGGGACCCCTTTTAATACTTTAATACTTTAATATTTTAGTTATTATATTATATTTTTAAGCTTTTTAATTTTAGGTTCTTAGTTGTACAATTAAGTTATATTAACATTAGATGATTTTATTATCTATCTATTTAATTGTTTGTTAGATATGCGTAGTGAAGACAAGTGAAACGTACACGGGTTCGTATCGCACTGCTTTATTATAAGACAGCTTGATGGTGGGCGCAGCCACACAGGTGTACCAACATACCTAACATCCCTCCCCTTATTACAAAACCCATAAAAAAAACAAAAACAATATTAAGAAAATCAAAGTTTTAACAATAGTTGTACATTTTGTAATTATTGTGGAACTAGTTCAACTAACTCAAGAGCATATCTAAGGTGTTGTATATGCATACATATATATATATATATATATTAATAAGCCGTTCATGGTTTGACCGTCAGGGTATTTAATATTCATCATATATTTTCCGCTTCCTGAAAGTCATCATCATCTGACTGTGTTCCCAACCTATCATTCACTGCAGAGTCTTCTGAATGCGCCGAATCATTTGGTTCATAAATTTCTGCTCTTCTCTCTCGGGCCCGGCAACTCCAGTCTGGCGACTCGTACGATAATGCCAATTGTTCCGGGTGCAATAAGGTAGGTGATAACGGATCGGAACCCGTTGCTTGCGGTGACACGGGGACAGGCGTTGACGGCAGCGATGACGTCATTGCAGGTGGAGGAGACGACTGGTGCAGCGTCAATCGGGGCCGCGGCAGTGATGACGGCGGCAACGGCAGAGGACTAGGTAAGTACGTACTTCCATCTGTACTTTGCTCATGGTTGTTACTACTCCCTTTATATAATAACAATTGATTTTTGTGTCTTTTGACACATTCTAGGCTATATGTATCTTGTATTATATACAACACTTTACCCAATCGTTTAACTATTATGCCCTTACACCATGTAAAACAATTTTTATTTGTATATTTTTTATACATCACACTATCATTTTTGTTAAAATCCCTCGTTTTAGTTTTCGCGTGTAACTTAATTTGCGTACACTGTTTATTTTGTACATGATTAGATACGGTCGGTGACGAGGGTGATGATGATGTTGGATTAATCAAATCTAGTCGCGATCTTAACTTACGGCCAAATACCATTTGAGCGGGCGATAAACCCGTGGTGGTGTGTACGGAGTTACGGTAATCCATGAGATATTTTAGTAATTTAATCTTTGTTTCTCTTACATTACAACGTGACAAAAGACATGATTTAATTCCCTTTTTCACTACTTTGACGAAGCTTTCAGCTTGCCCATTGCTCGCAGGGTGGTATACCGGCGATGTGACGTGTGATATTCCGTTGGAAATACAAAAGCTTTCAAAGTCGTGAGAACAAAAAGCAGTACCGTTATCACTCGCTAGCGTTTTTGGTACTCCATACCTCGACATAAAATCGCATAATTTTTCGATCACTGCGCTGGACGTCGTATTAGTGTTCATATTGTACACTTCAACCCATTTCGTGTGGGCGTCTACTACTACTAAATACGTACAACCTTTTATTGGACCTAAATAGTCGATGTGTATCCTATCAAAAGGCGAAAATGGATATTCCCAGCAGGAGGGGGTGCGCGCGGGGGGACGGCCGTAACTGAATGCATATATCGCATGATCCTATCATTCTTTCCAATGCTTGATCGATTCCTGGAAACCAAAATCGTGACCGCGCCTCGGCCTTAGTTTTGACTATACCTAAATGAGAAGAATGCAATTCATTTAAAATAATCGTGTATAAACTCTCCGGAATGACGACCTTATGACCTCTCATAATACACCCATTTTCTAACGATAATTGTAATCTACAAAGGTGAAACGGTTTGAGACGTATATCATTAATTTTAGCTGGCCATCCATTTTGTATATATTTTAATACTCGATTCAAAATTGCATCTTTCATAGTCTCTTCTCGCAACTTAGACAGAGTTATTGGTATACTGCCGTCCGTAGTAAAACAAATATACGTCGCCTTATCGCATGTTAACTCGTCGCATTCGTTAGAGATACACTGTTCGGTGCACGCGCACTTAATATTACTAGGCGCGGACGACAGAGGCGGGAGCACCGGCGGGTGGGGGACGGGGCCAGGTACGGTCGCCCGAGACAGGTAGTCTGCGCTGTTATCAGCGCTACGTATATATTCTATAATATAACAATAACCACTAAGAAACAACGCATACCGTTGCAACCTGTTCGCTGTTACTTCCGGTATGCCTTTGTATGGTCCAAATATCGAAATTAAGGGCTTATGATCCGTTCTTATTATAAACGGTACAGATCTACCATATAAATATTGATGGTAACGCCGCACACCGAAGATAATGGCCGTTGCCTCCTTTTGGATTTGTGCGTATCGTTTCTCGGCGGCGTTTAGAGTGCGCGACGCAAATGAAATAGGTCTTTCGATCCCGTCCGCTGCAATTTGTGACAGAATTGCTCCTAAGCCACTGGGTGACGCATCTACCGTTAATATCAATTTTGCGTGTGGATCGAAGTGCGCTAGAGTTTGTTCTGACGTCAGTGCCTTTTTTATTGATTTAAAAGCGATGTCATGTTGTATGGTCCAGTCCCATTTACAACCCTTTTTTAATAGTGCATATAAGGGGTTAAGTATACTCGATGCATTAGGTACAAAATTCCTATAGTAGTTAATAAGCCCCAAAAATGACTGTAGTTGGTTAACATTAGTGGGAACTGGAGCCTCCACCATAGCTTTAATTTTATCTGGTGACTTTTTAAGGCCATCCTTGGTAATTATGTAGCCAAGGTATTGGATTTCGTCCATAAAAAATTGACACTTTTCTTTCTGTAACGTTAATCCTACATTTTGCAGACGTTCTAGGACCGTATTTAAATTATTTAAATGCTCTGCCCTGTCCTTTCCCGTTATGAGAATGTCATCGAGCATAGAGATGACTCCGTCCATGCCTGCCAGCACCCCTTCGATTGCACGTTGGAAAATAGCCGGCGCGCTTGCTAAACCGAATACCAGGCGAGTATATTTATATAGGCCGCGGTGTGTATTGATACACGTTAAGCTTTGTGAATCATCATCTAACAAAAACTGATTGTAGGCCATAGATAAATCTAATTTTGTGAACTGTACTCCACCGTGCAGCTTTGAAAATAATTCACTGATGGTAGGAAGAGGGTACTGTTCCACTAATAACTGTTTATTAAGACTTACCGAGTAGTCCACACATAATCTAACTGAACCATTTCGCTTTAAGACGGGTACTATCGGTGAAGCATACTCGCTGTATTCTACAGGTACTAGAATACCTAAATTGACTAACCTATCAATTTCCTCCCCTATTTTGTCTCGTAATGCAAAAGCTATGGGACGAGACTTAAAAAATATAGGGTTAGAACCCTCTTTCAGCAATAACTTAATTTTGTATTTATTAAATGTACCTAAGCTGTCCGAAAATAGCTTGGGGTATTGTTGTTGCAACTGATTAACGGATAAATCTATTTTGTTACAAAAATTTACTGGGCTCAACTCTAATTTAAATAGGGATATAAAATCTCTGCCTAACAGCGGTGGACCACCATCCCGTACCACGTGCACGTCCAGTTCGTGTGTTTGAGTTTTATAATTTACTGGTAACCGTAATATTCCTAAACATACAATTTTTTTACCGTTATATGTCGACAATTGTTTACGAGCGTTTGATAACGGCACATTTTTAAAATGTAAATTATAATAAAATTCTGAAATCACCGTCACTGCCGAACCGCTATCAATTTCAAATTTGAATGGCAAGCTATTAATAAATATTATCACCACCATGGGTTCTCCCCTTAATGATCGGATATGATACAACTTACCATCATCATCACTCTTGTCACCGCCATCCACGTCTACGTAATTCACTTTTGAACACATTTTACGCAAGTGGCCTTTTTTGTGACACTTTTTACACTGATAATTAGCAAATTTGCATTCGGACGATTTATGATTTGTGTAACCACAGACACTGCACTTCACTTTACCCGTATTTGAGTTATTTCTGGTTTTTGTAATCTGATTTATATGACTGTCAGCCGGTAGGACGTCCCTGGACGCTGCCAGACTACTCGCACTGACTGCGGCTGCCACTCGGGCACACTGCAGGTTCTCTGCTAGTTCCACGGCCTTTGCTAATGTGAGGGCCGACAGATATTGTGTGTATATCTTTTCCTTTTCGAATCCTGGACGCATACCCATGATAAATTTATCGCGTAACATCTCTTCCACGTTGAGAAAACCGCAGTGAGCTGTCAGTCCTCGCAATCTCGCTGCCCACTGTGTATGGGATTCGCCGGGTAGCTGCGTAGCTGTGTAGAAGTTGTGGCGTTCTCCAAATCCAATACGTTTTGGCGTGAAATGGTCATCCAGAAACGTCAGAATCTCTTCATACGGTACCTCTCCAATGTCTTTTGGTAGTGCTAGGTCTGATGCCAGCTTGTACGTGCCTTCGGTGAGTGCGCTAAGAAGAATGGCCTTCCTCTTCTTACCCGTGGCATCTGTATGTCCATTGATGTCGTTCGCAATAAAATATTGTAGTAAACGACTTTTATATGTCTTCCACGTCTGTACATTGTGGTCGAAACAACTTAAAATACCAAACTGCGTTGTCGCCATTTTGCTTTTTATTCCGCCAATATGTGGGTACCTCGTCGCCAATGTTAGATATGCGTAGTGAAGACAAGTGAAACGTACACGGGTTCGTATCGCACTGCTTTATTATAAGACAGCTTGATGGTGGGCGCAGCCACACAGGTGTACCAACATACCTAACATTGTTCAGAACCCTATCTAAGCGAGTCTGACTCGAAATTTACCAGTTTTATTTCTCATACATCAATGGAATATAAACTTTATATTAACAGCATTAGAAATTAGTTCCATATAAAACAGGTTTGCAACAGATGTTTGGGTTTATGTCAATGTATTATAAATTACATGATTAAATGTGTCATGTTTGATAATAAATGGATTTAATAACACAAACATACATACAATAGTTTGATTGCTTTCAGCAATAAGACCGCCTTATTGTAACGATACATGTGTCCCTTAATATATTATGTCTTTGCTTGTGTGTTACAAATAAAGTATATCTAGTTTGACGGACTCAGTGGTCTAGCGGTTTAACACTCCGTTTTACTTCTGATGCTCGCTGGTTCTATTCCTCGCTCGGTACAAATATTTGTATTCATATGATTGTATCGGTCTGGGTGTTTTCTATGTATAATATGTATGTATTTATGAAAAAAAAATCTATGTATTTATATCAGTTGTCCATAACATAAGTTCTGTTTAACTTTGGAGACTATGACTATTCAAAAGTGCTTATTAATAAATCAACTGTTAAAAATACAGATATATTATTTAAAACAAACATATATATACATATACGCAAAAAAAACCGACCGACAAAAATAACTAAAACTCATGGATGCAAATGTTGCAAGGAATCGAAGCCGCGATCATCGGCAGTAAAGCGGTGTACTAGACCACAGAGGGCATTAGTTATCTAGTCAGGCCGAAGTTGTTTATTTTTATAAAAATAATAATAATATCGTAAGACAATTGACAGCGCCATCTAGACTTGTGTTAAAAATAAAAAAAATAAATACATACTTATTATACACAGAAAACACCCAGACCGACACAAACAATCATACTCATGAATACAAACGGTAGTGCCGTGCGAGGATTCGAACCCGCGACCATCGGACGTAAAGCAGCAACCACTAGACCACCGAGGTCGACAATATAGTTATATCTTCATATTTTTTTTTTAAATACATACATAGACAGAGACCTATAGACAGAAAACATCCAGACCAACACAAACAAACGTACTACTGAATACAAATATTTGTACAGTTCAAGGAATCGAAGCTGCGATCATCGGTAATAATCGCTATCTATATCTACATATATATAACTCAAAGGTGACTAACATAGTGATTTATCAACGCACAGCCCAAACCACTGGACGGATCGGGCTGAAATTTGGCATGCAGGTAGATGTTATGACGTAGGCATCCGCTAAGAAAGGATTTTGATTAATTCTACCCCCAAGGGGATAAAACAGGGGATGAAAGTTTGAATGAAACTTTGTCAATTTTAAACCGATCGGGCTGAGACTTTATATACATACTATGACGTAGGCATTCCCTAAGAAATGATTTTGATAAATTCCACCCCTAAGGGGATAAATTAACGCGAGCGAAGCCGCGGGCAAAAACTAGTGAATATATATTTTCTTTCTTAATATGTATCACCTTTAGATACGTTATTTCTTCTATTAATTATCGGTTAAGATATTCATTATACTGTTACTAGGATAGCTTTGTTACTACCCCATAACAATAACAAGAAATACCCATCAGTTCGCGTAAATAGCCAATAAATACCATCAAATCAACCGCCACTACATTTACGCATTCTGCTCGCGTACGGAACCCAGTGTGTAATTTAATTGCGCGAGGCTCTGCCAACACAATACCGCGTGATTGGTCCACCCACGGAATCCCAATTTGGACGTAAGTTTTGCAAATCTTTCGCAATTGATTGGTGAATTTTTTTTTTATGGATGACAATGGAATGGTGCACCCGCCTGCGCTAGCGGTTTCCTCTTACTGGGCACCAGTGAAGATAAGATGAACATTTCTCAGTGAGAACAGTAGCTATCCGTCGTGTAGTTATCAACCTCCTTCTCAGATATCGCTATCATTCCACTTCCTTCTATTCTAAATCACTTTCTGTCCAGGCTGTCAGGTTATGGAACAGTTCAGTCACTTGCTAGTTTCAAGGTCTCTGTCAAATCCCACTTTCTATGTTAAATATAATAGACCCCTATAGCCTAAAAGAAATTACAAGTAAGAAAACCACAATAAATACGTTTATAGCTGTTAAGATTTAAATAGATAGTAATCAGGTTTTTGTTTATGTCTGATTAATTTTTTTTAATTCGCTAATGATATATTGTATATGTGCTATTGTTAAAACCACAAGGTCATAAACCAAAACACTACACACGTGTATATAAGGTTTATTGGTCGTTTTCAAATACAGGTACAGATACAACATTTTTTTTTCGGACTACTCTAATGCTGTTGGCCGCAGCTGGCCTTTACAGCTTCACCGGACGATAGGGGGCGAGTTCAGATTACACTCCAAACCCGCGGAAGGACTTATAGAGCGGCTGAAGGACAACTCCTGCCTGACGGATACGACTTTAGTCTGAGGGCACCCGTAGGGGTTCGAACCTCGGCTCAGGCCGTCGTAATTTCGATCCCCGTTTGAATTGGACGGGGGCGGTGCCCCGCCAGCGAAACCATTAGTACAGCCGTACTTCAGTTTTATTTACATGTATAAATAATAAACATATTTTACTTTACTTAACTGTTCCTATCAATATACTCAATTCCTTGAAAATATTAAAATTTCATACTAGAGCTGAGATAGATCTTTCATAGGAATTATTTCTTGATGTTTACATCACTAGAGAATCAAGTCATATCGTAGTAAAAAAATATTTAATCGTATTAATTAACAAAGCTCAGTTCCGTTATTTCAGTTGAAAAAAAGTGGAAACGGGTACTTTTTCTATTCCATTTTCTGTATTTATTTTTAAGCGAAGTCTATGTAATAGCTAAATGAGTTTTTCTAGCTATTACCAGAAATGAAAACGTACTTTATATTCATAATACTTCATTGGTACGTCTTAACAGAACTGTAGCCAAGACAAGAATGAATAATTACCTCTAAATATCGTTTACAGATCAGTTTTGTACCCTCACTATTTTAATAAAAATTATAAAACTAACTCTCTCAATATCAATAGCATTGCTTCTATTTGTAATTAAACAATTCATTACTAATCAACACATAGGCTCATGTTAATATTACATTATCTAAGTATATATAACTTTGAAAGAGCACTACGTCAGTCAACTTTGGTGACTGACATAGTGATCTATCAACGCACAGCTCAAACCACTGGACGGATCGGGCTGAAATTTGGCATGCAGGTAGATGTTATGACGTAGGCATCCGCTTTGGATTTTGATTAATTCTACTCCCAAAGGGATAAAATAGGGGATGAAAGTTTGTATGAAACTTTGTCAATTTTAAACCGATCGGGCTGAGACTTCGCATGCATAAAGCTACTAAGACGTAGGCATCCCCTAAGAAAGTATTTTGATAAATTAAACCCCTAAGGGGATAAATTAACACGAGCGAAGCCGCGGGCAAAAGCTAGTTATAATTATATCTACTACACAAGTCTGTATATTTATTATCGAAACTATTATAATCTAACATATGTAGTTAGTTTCGTGAAAAGACTGTAAGTTAATTAATAAAATAGAAGTATCGACTTCTATTTTCTTAATTAACTAACTGTTCCCGCGACTTCTTCCGCGTGCAGTTTAACTTTAATTTTCTAAAATAAAAGTAGCCTAAGTTACTCCTTATTACATCAGTTACCTGCCAAAAAAAGTCCCATCAAAATCGGTCCAGCCATTTCAGAGATTAGCCGGAACAAACAGACAGACAGACAAAAATTGTAAAAAATATTATTTTGGTGTATGTACCGTATTTATATTCATATGCATGTAGTAAAAACGGTTATTTCAATATTATAAACAGACACTCCAATTTTATTTATATATTCATTAATTATAGTAATAATTAGTTTATTAGCATACAACGTTATAATTTTATTTTCTCATTGCTTTCTTGATTTAATTGATTGATTTTAGAAATATGAAAGCGTAGCGGTTTTTGTATTGATTGCCGCATGCATTCTTATATAAAATGTGAATACTATAACTATCAGATGGCAATTGTGAGTAGCTTTAACGTGGTCTGGTGTTTTGAGTAGTCATGCTCACTAAAATGTCCAGACTTGTGGCGGCGTGGTGGGCCGGGTCATTGGGCTCCCTAAAATATGGTCGAGCGCACTGATGGCTGGCTCATCCGTCATACTCGTGAACGGGTGCTGCTTGTAGGGACTGGTCTGCTCTAATCACTATGACTGATTTCCTCTTATTAATTGTTTAACCAGTTGGTTATATATTCAATATTTTTTCTATTTGAGTATTTAATTGAATTAGTGCTAATTGGTGGTTTGTATTCACACACTTAAACTTAAAAATGTAAAGTAACAATAAAATTATTTAAAAGAGCAACACGCAAGTATCTCGCTCGTTCTTCTTGTGATGAGACAGCTTTCCGAACGAGCGGTAGATTAAAAAAAATGTAATGACTATTCAAAAGTGCTTCAATGTAAGTTTATTTGAATAAATGATTTTCTATTCTATTCTATTCTATATAATTTTATATACACATTAATATGGATTTAAATCTTCTGAAATTTAAAATTAATGGGAACTAGAAGAACAAGATCTATGTTACTCAATTAAGGCACTAATGGTGTTTGATATTTGACCAAGAAATTAACACAAGGTCAGCATTTCAGGACGCTGGAATACCAGGTAGCCAACGAGAGGTATCCGTAGCATAGTTGTGGTAAAACGGTAGCTTTGACGAGTTTTACAAGCACTCGTCTCGAGCACACTAGAGCGTGGGCGGGCGGCGAGCACGAGTAACGCCGCCCTCGTACGATGTCGTTCCATTACTATCCAGGTTTTTTTTTATTAATAATGGGATTGCGCGTGGTTTTACCTCATCTGATAGTAAATGATGGCAAGACCTAGGATTTAGCGCGCTTACCCTGAAGATATCTATTCCCCATACTTGAAGAATCCGGGGTTATAATAATATATAATATAGTTATAGAAAATCCTTTAATCAAATAAACTTAATTTAAGCATTAAGCACTTTTGAATAGTCATACATTTTTTTCTACCGCACGTTCGGAAATCTGTCTCATCATAAGAAGAACGAGCAAGAAACTTGTGTGTTGCTCTTTTAAATAATCATTGTAAGTTTACATTTACAAGTCGAAACGTGTGAATACAAACTACAAACAACCAAGCACAAAATTATTAGGGTCAAATATAAATGTACAATAAGATTAAATCAGGCGTAGTGATAAGAGCAGACTAGTCCCTATAAGCAGACAAAAATTAGAAATAGAAATTATCTGTATTCAAATACTAAGTTACTACTTATTACATCAGCAACCTGCCAAAAAAAGTTCCGTCAAAATCCGTCCAGCCATTTCAGAGATTAGCCGGAACAAACAGACCAACCCACAAACAGACAAAAATTTTAAAAAATGTTATTTTGGTGTATGTCCCGTATTTATATTCATATGCATGTAGTAAATAACCGATTATTTCAATATTACAAACAGAAATTCCAATTTTATTTATATGTATAGACGACCTCGGTGGTCCAGCGGTCTAGCACACCGCTTTACGACCGATGGTCGCGGGTTCGATTCCTCGCACGGCACAAACATTTGTATTCATGAGTATGATTATTTGTATCGGTCTGGGTGTTTTCTATAAATAATATGTATGTATTTACAAAAAAAAATATCTATGTATCAGTTATCTAGTACCCATAACACAAGCTTTAGCTAACTTAACTTGGGCTTAAATGGCGCTGTGTGAATTGTCCTAAGATTATTATTATTATTATTATTATGTATAGATTTAAAGTATTTCAAAAGGGCAATACACAAGTTTCTTGCTCGTTCTTCTTGTGAGGAATATATAGCGGGTAGGAAATGCTCGTAGTAGGGTGTGAATGCAGTAAAATACTTAATATGCGACATGAACTCATGAGGTAATGGTATTCAGGAACCGAGCGGCCACACGTGACCGCTGCGAGCCGCCCTGCTCGTTACTGTGCTTATCACCCCTGCATACTGATTACGGTAGCAATTTTGGGTTTTCAGCCACTGTTTCATGATTCAGACAAATCACGTGATTGTAATCTCAGGACAATTCTCACAGCGCTATTTAGTCCCAAGTTAAATTAGATAGAGCTTATGTTATGAGTACTAGATAACTGATAAATATATAGATTTTCTTTCCTAAATACATACATATTATATATAGAAAATATCCAGACCGATACAAACAATCATACACATGGATACAATATTGCCGCGAGGAATCGAACCCGCGACCATCGGAAGTAAGGTGTGCTAAACCGCTAGACCACCGAGGCCTATGTATAACTTCGTTTCTGTATCATTGCTCAATTGTTAATTTACTAGCTTTTATATTTTTACCTAATTTTTATATTTAAATACTATAATATTAGCTTAAATTACTCTTTATAACATTAGCTAACTGTGAGTGAAAGTCCTATTAAAATCGGTCCAGCCGTTAGAAAGATTAGCAAGAATAAACAGACAGACAAAATTGTTTATAATTAATTTTTAATGTAAGTACCGTATACTTCTATAAGCATGTATGAAAAGTGTTTGAAATTTCTTACACATCAGTATTAATTAATTGTAAAGATTTCAGTTACAGAGTAGGCAAAAATATAATATTGGTACGTAACGTAAAATAATAGTAAATTAAATTACTCAATATAATATTAGATATCTGTCAGTGAAAGTACTATCAAAATCGGTCCAGCCATTAAGTAGTAAGAACATACAGACAGGCAAAATTGTTTATAATTATTTTTTTATCTACGAGCAAGTACCGTAAATTTTCAGTTAGTGTTTATTGGTAAGCTGTTAATTTAAAATATCACTTCAGTTTTTATTATTTGTATAAATTTCAGTTAGAGAGTAGGTAAAAAAATTAACTAATGGAAAGTAAATTAACAGCCAGTGTATATGAACGTACTTGCAACTCCCCTGGTGTTGCTTACCATCAGGTGAGCCGCATGCTCGTTTGTCCCCTGTGTTAAAAAAAAAACGAACACTACCGAGGATATATATTTTCTAATATTTATTGGTATTATTATCCTATCCCTATTATTACCTTTATATATATATTCTTCCATTCTATTCATGCGCCACCTACCACTTTTGTTGTATTTTCTCTACCTAAAGGTTGTCTGGAAGAGATTGCTTCTAGCGATAAGACCGCCTTTTGTACTTCCATATCTCTTTTCTGTATAATTCTTATGTATTAATTCTATTGGTGCAATAAAGAGTTTATAAATAAAATAAATAAATAACGACGTTCTTATATGAAATTTTTATGCCTTCTTGCCCTGCAACTTCAGTGCACTATCCCACCGGTCAAACTTTAAAAAATACATCTACAGTACTACAGTAATAAAGCTCAAAAGCAAACTTCTAAGATCGCTACTAAGTGAGATGGAAGTCCCAGTAGACTTTGGTCAAAGTCTCAATTTGATCACAGAGGTGTTTTACCTGCTGTTTACAATTAAATATGTATTTTCTTTATATTAATATGTTTACAGAAGAATTAGTGCGTAGCGATTTTCTATATTGATTATCGCATGCCTCTTACTTGTTATTGTGTAATTATTTATTTAAAATAATATTTTTTCAAAAGAGCAACACGCAAGTTTATTGCTCATTCTTCTTGTGATAAGTCTGCGTTCCCAATTAGTGAGTAAAAAATATGCTTATTCAAAAGTGCTTGTATTCAATAGAATAGAAAATCATTTATTCAAATAAACTTACATTGAAGCACTTTTGAATAATCATCCCATTTTTTTTTAATCTACTGCTCATTCGGAAAGCTGTCTCATCATAAGGTGAACGAGCGAGAAACTTGCGTGTTGCTCTTCTAAATAATTTTATTCTTACTTTACATTTTTAAGTTTAAGTGTGTGAATACAAACCACCAATTAGCACCAATTCAATTACACACTTAAATAGAAAAAATATTGAATATATAACCAACCGGTTAAACAATTAATAAGAGCAAATTAGTCATAGTGATTGTGTTTATTTGAATAAAGATTATTTATATTTTATTACAGAATAGGATCCAAACGAGTATCACTGATAATAATGTCAAACTGAGATACATATTGTTAAATTAAACAATATGTGACGTTTTTATGTTGTGCTGTAAACAATAGAATAAAAGAGGTTTTTATTTTATTTAGATATTTTTATGACGTTTTTATGTATATACTAGCTACTCGCCCCAGCTACGCGCGGGTGTACATGTATTATAAATATAAACCTTCCTCCAGAATCACTCTATCTATTAAAAAAATACGCTTCAAAATCCGTTGCGTAGTTTTAAAGATTTAAGCATACATAGGGTCGGACAGCGACAGCGACTTTGTTTTATACTATGTAATACCTATACATATGTCATACTCTACAATTTCAGTGTATTTAATTTTATCACCAATCAAATAAAATCAGAAATCATTTATGTAGGACATTTTAGCCGCTTATGAACGTTAAGTTTTTGTATTATTTTCTGTACCGTCCAGTATACAGAATCAATTGAGAAGAATTGGCAAGAAACTCGACTGAATTTCTTTTGTTTAAAGATAGTTTATTTACATTATGTACTTATATAGGATTCTGTATCTAACATTAAATGAAAATCCCAAGCAAAAACGACTATTGCCCTGTACGTTTGGCATTTAAGTAATCGTTTAGTGAACAATAGGCTTTACTCAAGCTTTTAATAGATAGAATTCTTTATTCAAATAAACTTAATTTATGCATCTTGAACAGTCATAGCTATCCTTCTTTTAATCTTCTACTCATTCGGAAAGCAGTATCATCACAAGAAGAACGAGCAAGAAACTTGCGAGTTGCTCTTTTAAATAATCGTTATAACTTTACATTTAAATAATTAAATAATCTGATGTAGCCCAGTAATAAATTGAAAGTAGATTTTCAAGTTTGCAATGAGCTGAGATAGAGGTCCCAGAAGATTAGGTTCAAAGTCACAATCTGATTCTAGCGTTGGTACAGTTAAAAATTATGCTTATAGACGACTTACCTCAGTTACCGCGACTCGATTCGACGCTCGCGTTCCTCGCTCTAACTATAGTAAATATTTACATGTACCGACACCTTCTCAGCCGTTCGCACACGCGCCAATAAACACTCCATAGGCCTGACAATAAAGTCCATTTCAGGTCAACACCCGAGCCATAAGTCCATCGACATACACGCCGCGTAAACAACGTTAACTCCGAACTACTGCTTAACGATTGTTTAACTTGATAGTTATTTTTAACTGTTACCTACTATTTTTTATTATTATTAGATCTTAAATTTACTGCTTCAACTATGATCCGTAGTTGCTTTAATATAATTATGGTTTCACTACATTAAACGGTAAATTTATAAGTAAATAACTTAGTAAGTAGTAGTATAATTCGCGCGCTCGATCGTTTAGTTCGCAATGTTATCCTGAAACGTATCCCAGGGCGGGCAGTCCCCGCAAACGGTGGGCGGCGAATGAGCGGCACGCAAGCCTCCGTTCGCTTTAAACCGCGTATTATGTACATAGTATATATGTACAGAGAGCAGCTTTGTAATTAGCATACTCACTAATGCTATTAACTAGATTTTGCTTCAAAGAAGCTGTTTGGTTATCCTGCTGGGAATAAAAAACAAGCTGACGATATTTAGTGGAAAGGGAAAATTGCTACAGATAATATTATATATATACTAGCTGTCCCGGCAAACGTTGTTTTGCCATATAAATTAATAACGCTATAAAAAATAGGGGTTCATGACAGAAGGGTGAAATTTTGGATTGTATGTATTTTTGTATGTTTTATCATAAAAAAATAGAAACTAAAAATTTTGCCTAAAAAATAAAAAATTTGGAGTGGACTACCCCTAACATTTAGGGGGATGAAAAATAGATGTTGGGCGATTCTCTGACCTACTCAATACGCTCACAAAATTTCATGAGAATCGGTCAAGCCGTTTCGGAGGAGTATGGGAACGAAAACTGTGACACGAGAATTTTATACATATATATCTTACGTATGTTCTTCTCACCTAGTTACACATCCTATTTATTTATTTTGCAATGCGATATTTCATCTACATATATATATATTTATTTGATTTTTCTATGTTGTGTTTGTAAAAATGATTAATTCCTGGACTGTATAAGCAGCTCGCATTTTATATTTCATTAAATGAGAGGGACTGACTGAAAATCAGCGCCGTGCAGCGTACGTGTGAACGTTACCCTCACAGCATCAGCTGAGTCAGCAGCTTTTGGCCAGAATACGCAGTGTGAGGTACTACTGTTGCTATTTTGTACGTAGTTTTATTAAACTCTATTTTTTATAGTTCTTGTTTAACAAACAGTGTACTAACTCAATTTTATGTACATATATATGTATTTTTTGTTCTGGCAATAAATAAGTTTTTTTTTTCTTACAATTTGTATTCTCAAATTTCTTCGGTGTTGTAGTTTAGAGTTACGGGTCATACTGACCAAGGTATTATTATTATTATTATTTAGACTATTGTCGCATTTTCTCAGCTTTTGCTGGTTTTCTCCACACTTACGGGCCGGAACCAAGTAAGTGCAGTGTGTTTGTGTGTGCACATCTGTGCATGCGTGTGAGTGCGTGTGTGTATATTATTATTATGACGATTATTATTATTATATGCAATTGTAAGTAGCTTTGACGTAGTCTAGTGTTTTGAGTAGTCATGCTCACTAAAATGTCCAGACTTGTGGCGGCGTGGTGGGCCGGTTTATTGGGCTCCCTAAAATATGGTCGAGCGCAGTGATGGCTGGCTCATCCGTCATACTCGTGAACGGGTGCTGCTTGTAGGGACTGGTCTGCTCTAATCACTATGACTGATTTCCTCTTGTTAATTGTTTAACCAGTTGGTTATATATTCAATATTTTTTCTATTTGAGTATTTAATTGAATTAGTGCTAATTGGTGGTTTGTATTCACACACTTAAACTTAAAAATGTAAAGTAATAATAAAATTATTTAAAAGAGCAACACGCAAGTTTCTTGCTCGTTCTTCTTGTGATGAGACAGCTTTCCGAACGAGCGGTAGATTAAAAAATGTAATGACTATTCAAAAGTGCTTCAATGTAAGTTTATTTGAATAAATGATTTTCTATTTTATTCTATTATTAGAACGAGGAGGATGATGTGTATTATTATTAGAACGAGGTTCGCAGTCGATGACTAGAATCGCTGGCTAGTATGGCAGACGAAGTAAGTTTGAATATTTAAAAAGACAGTGTGTTCTGTCATCTTGTCTGCATTCGTATTTATGTATTCATGTAATTGTTATTATATAATTTTATCTTGTTCGTAAATATATTTTTGTTTATCTGTTATAATTAACGTGTATTTTATATAATTTTATCTTGTTCTGCCTTCCTTTCTTTATCTTATCTTTCTTTATTTACGAATAAATATATTTTATTCGTAAATATATTTTTGTTATTATTTTTAAATATTTATTTATTTATTTATTTTCCACACTTACATCTATTTTTACAGGTCTTAGCCTAATACAATAGTGCAGCAAACATTATTTTTTAAATTAATTGTACCTTATAATAAATAACGCGATCTTCGTGAACTCATTCAGAGAACAAGAAAATAGATCTATTTGAAAATAGATATATTTTTGTTTATCTGTTAATGAAAATTAAAATTTTATTTCAGTTCTCGTGCCTTTTTGCCGCGACTGAAATCACTTTCCAGTGGTATTTCCGAAGCTACGATATTGAAACCTTTAAAAAATAAGCTTATTACTTCTTAAAAGTCCAACAACGCACTTCCAATTCCCCTTGCAATAAAATAATCTTTATTACAACATAATAAACCTTATTTTTATTTGTTCGCTTCATATCGTTAAAAAACATATAAATTAACCAGCTTTTGCCCGCAGCTTCGCTCGCGGAAATTTATTAATTTTGATAAATTCCACCCCTAAGGGGACTTAGGGGTGGAATTTATCAAAATCCTTTCTTAGGGGATACTTACGTCATAGTAGTGCTTTATGCATGCAAAAATTGACAAAGTTTCATACAAACTTTCATCCCCTATTTTATACCCTTGGGGGTAGAATTAATCAAAATCCTTTCTTAGCAGATGCCTACGTCATAACATTTACCGGCATGCCAAATTTCAGCCCGATCCGTCCTGTGATTTAGGCTATGCGTTGATAGATCAGTATGTCAGTCACCTTTGAGTTACATATATATATTTAGATTTCCTCATATACAACATAGGGGCGTGTCATCCCCACGTGTAAAGTAGTTTTCTACCCTTAACTAAACACTGAACAAATCGATTTACGACCAGGAAGTAATATTCCTCTCTATAAAAATGTTTGGTCACAATTATAACCCTCGTGAGTCGTAAATGCATTTTAAGTCAATTTGTCCCCTTGTAGTTTAGTACGTGCAATCTCGCCGACAGACAGACGAGCCCCTCGCCTCGGTTTTATGGTGAATATAAAATTTTTATACCCCATTCCGTGATGATTACGAGTTGTAATGGTATAGATATTACAGTAATTAGCAGGTGGCGATAATGACGTTTATCGATAAAATATATAACAAACTAATGGTAGATTTGAAAACTATAAAAAAAATATAAAATATTTATACATAACCTAAAAATATAACTTTAGTTAAACGCGTTTTAACACGAATATATTTATGGTAAATAAATGTTTATGTAATTTACATCTCTCGACGTTTCTACTAGTTGTCCTACTGTAGGCAATGAGAATGCCGACCATCTGGCAAAGTTAGGGGCAAAAACCGTCCAACTGGGCCCCGAACCCTTCTGTGGTGTGCCTCGTTGCCTAAAACTGGGACATCTCAAATTAATAACCAAACGAGAAGCACTGAATCACTGGCAAGAAATGCCAGGATTAATACATTCAAAAGACCTAATATCGGGCTTCTCGACCAAATACTCCAATAGATTACTGCAATTGAGTAAAAACAACATATGCATGATGACTAGGGCCCTCACAGGACACTGCAAATTGAACAAGCATATGGCTAAGCTAGGCCTATGCACGACAAGTATCTGCAGATTCTGCCAAACTGAAGAGGAAACGCCGCTTCACATCCTTTGTGGTTGTAGCCCACTCATGCATAAACGAAATATCTCCTTTGGAAAGTTTACACTCTTTCCCGAGGAGATAAAAACGATCGCTCCTAAGAATATCCTTCAATTCTTGTCCCTGACGGGTCTAGGTAGCGAACTCTGAAAAGGGCGAGCACAATAGATCTATGTAGGTCGCAGTGCTACAGGTGCTACACATCTGACAATAGCCCAAACAACCCAATAAAAAAAAAAAATAATAATATCCTACTGTAACCATGTGAATTTTATATTGTAATGGGTGTAAACTGTGATCGGTACAGCCTATGCTGTAATGATATAATTGACGTAGTGGAGTAACCTGAAACAGTCATGCTCGCTATAAAGTTCAAACTTGTGGCGGCGTGGTGGGCCGGGTCGATGTGCTCCCTCAAATATGGTTGAGTGCAATGACGGCTGGCTCGTCCGTCATACTCGTGAACGGGTGCTGCTTGTGGGGACTGGTCTGTTCAGGTTGTGAACACTGATTAAATTTTTTGTTCTTTGCGATAGCATATGCTGGTGGTCACTCTATTCTCCCAAATTTGAATTTTAATTACTATGTATTATTATAAACATGTTCCACTATTATTTGAAAAGAATGAGAGCTGAGTTTCTTGTCAGTTCTTCTCATCTCGATATCATTCCGAACTGACGGTAGATTTGACATATCATAAGAGTCTGTAATAGACCTACATGAATAAAGATATTTTGAATTTGAACTTGAAGTTGCACTAGCAAGTGCGACAAATTCGAGACGTCGAAATAATAATAAAATAAAAAAAATCTATCTGTATGTTTGTTATGTATGTTTGTTTATTGTCTATAAACAACGTTTCTCTAATCAGCAAGAAGTTCAAATCTAACCGAAACAAAAAACCACAGTCAATTTATATCTTTGAAGGATTGAAGGAAACATCAATCAAACAAAAAAAAATCCGAGAGACGGCGGTAAGCTCGCCTTGTATCATGTTGGATTCAAAATATACCGAGGGAAATATGGGCAAGTCAAGAGTTGCATTGGGGATTGTCAGCTACTGATATTGCATATCGGTCGCTGACAATGCCTCTGACTACCCCATCTGGTATAACAGCCGTAACGACATTTACACTAAGCATTTGTATTTTTTTTAAATATAGAACAAACTACCGGAAGATTTGAAAACTATTTAAAAGAAAAAATATTTATACGTAACCTAAAAAAATTACTTCCAAAAAAATGTTATTATATATATCAATGAATATTTGAATCTGTCAAATATTCAAATGTGAAAATATTACTTATAAATTATAAAATCAGTATATATATATATATAATACATACATACACATCGATCAGAAA